CAAAAGAAACAAGAGAAACACTAAAAATAAAATGAATAGGCGCACAATATAAACCTAAACCTTCCCCGGCAACGGCGCCAATTTGTTGTAAATATATTTAACCGGAGTAGAATCGAAGGATTCGACACCGGGTCGTACTCAAGGAAGGTCAGCCGGAATAAACTGCACGACTATTCAAACACAAAAAAAAAAGAAACGAAATCTGAACACTCTAATTCAAATTGTTGGTTTTATAATTATCAACTACGGATTCTCAAATGAATAAATAAAAACAAACGAACAATCGGATCCAAACGAAATTCAAATAAGGTTGGGGAAGTTGAGGAATCGGAGATACTCGCATATGGTTCTCAACAACTATTAATTGCTTATCCACTCGGTTAAGAGATTAATAACTTACTTGCTTAGAAATTTGTTCTCAATAACTGTCCGTAACAAGAAAACAAACACAAGCAATTCATTATCTGAACAATCAACGCATAGGCAATACTTTGACGAACAAGCCTATTCTAAACGAGCCACGTTCAACCAATTTCTCCCCTTTCGGTTCTACAAATTGATTAATTAGATTAGAATGGTGATCAAGCATCTAACCCTAGATTAAGAACAACTCGAATAGATTGAATGGTAAGCAAACATACATGAATCACGAACGAACCAATACGAATATCTCCTATCCCCAACAAAAGATTTAGCTACTCATAGTAATTTGAACATAAGAACTCACAACAATCCAAGCACAAAACACCATAATTAAACGAGAAAAGATGCTTACGATTGATAAGAAAACCAATGTCGAAAACAAGAGCAATCCAAAATCCAATCCAAGATCAAAGCAAAAGAAAAAGTGTGTTTTTCTCCAGAAAAGAGTTCAGAAAATAAAAAGTACGGAATGAATCCTAACCCTATCGCCCCCGCATAAAATAAAATAGTCTGATCTGGTTTTAAACAACGCACCGCGCCGCGAAGAGCGATCACGGCGTGATGGACTCCTGCTCCGCGGCGCGAGGGAGGCACACGGCGCGACAGGCTTCTGCTTCGCGGCGCGACGGTGGCACGGCGCGGCACCTGGAATCGAGCTACCTGAAGTCGTTGTCGCGGCGCGGGGGACTCGTGAAGGTTTTTGTCGCGGCGCGACGAGTGTCGCGGCGCGGGAGACGTCGCGAAAACTGGCACTTGTGACTGAAATTCCGCCTGAAATTCCGCTTAATGCTCGATTGCTCAAATAGCTCCACATGTGAGATGAAAAGCCTGATTTGCACACCACCTAAGATAGAAGATCAACACCCGAAAAACGAGCAAAAAGAGTAGAAAAAATCGAAAACGATAAATAAACGACTAACAAGCGAAAAGAACGACAGAAGGACCAAACTGACTAATAAAAACCTAAACTCGAGGGAAAAAACTAACAAATCAACAAAGAAAAAGATAACAAAAATGGGACAAACATCAACCTTTTTGTCTATCTTGATCTTTTAGAAAAAAAAAAAAATGTTGCATTAAACTAAATTGTTGAATTAACAAAATAAATTAAAATACAATTTATTTATTTTTTTTTAAAAAATATATTTGTGGTTTGTTTTGCTTTGTTGATTCTCCTTCACATTTTGCCCACCTTTCCACTAGCTACCAAAGACCAACTGGACCAAAGACCTCATTTGCAATATGGGCTAGAAAGTTGGGCCGAGTAAAAGCCCTATCATTTCTCAAAAACTATGGTAGAATTTTGAACTTCAAAAGGCCTAGATTTACGCATAAATGCAGTTATACATTCTACAATTTTTCATTTTATTATTATTATTATTGAAGCATTAAACGTGTTCACGAGGTGCACGCTTCAATTTTTATTCTTTTGGATGTAATCATCTGATAATGTAATGAAGTAAAATTCAACAAGATTTTATGATAGTTAAGTACTTTTGATACCATGAAAGTTGAAGATGATATCGAACTCGATAATTTGCGCTTAACGTGTTAGAAATGACTGTAATTAATTGCATAAATCGAGATTTTAAATTTGTCGGTAGTTCATGTTATGTGTTAATGATAGCGATTACACATAACATTGAGATGTAATAAAAAAATAGTAATCAAGAATCACATGGAATTGAGTTGTAAACTTAATATATATTAATATAGTTGATAAAACTAACAAGAACTATTATTAGTAGGGGACCTTTTTTTTTTTTTTTTTT